TCACTCACTCACTCATTGTCAGATATATGTAAAGGTGTGCTTGAAACAAAATGATGACATTACTTGATATTAGTGCAGAAGCAATTGATTTAATAATGGGTCAATCGATCGATCTGACATCAGTGATTATCGATGAGCTCGTTAAACTAATTCGTATTCTGAGAAAATGAAGCATCAAATTACAGTTTAGAAAGTATGTTTCTTATGTTTGTTAAATCAAGACATAAACAACTGATGCAGTTTACCTTGTATCATAGAAATGTAATCAACATAAATGCGTGCGTGTCTCAACAGGAAGTATCCTCCATTGATATATTAATACGTTCCTGTTTTGCTAGCACAACGTTATGATTGTGTCCCGTTATTGCCCACATGATTTTGTTGTGGGGGTTTGACGATTATAATCGAGTTTTGAACAATCACTGAGCTCCGACTACCAATCCACGTATTGTGAGCGATAACCAGCACTACTTGATATATTGTACAGTCAACTCCTTTCGCAGAGATTTCTCATGAATATTGAGTTTTGTCAATTTTGTTGACTGTTTTAGTGTTCTTGTCAACACAATAATGTTACTCATTTTACGCCTATAGATTGCTTTGTCTATAGTTTATTTTTATTTAGGTGGACACTCACTTAATGATAAATATTAATGGCCATGAAGAGTTAATTTAGGACTTATTTCACTGAAATTTGGCTGTCACTTTGTCAGAAATTGGGATACAATGTAACAATTTAATTTGTTGTGTTTTGAGTGTGTATTGTTTCTACACACATGGTACAGGCAACATTAAATGTTGACCTGTCACTGATGGACATCTTTTCAAATGAGGGGCGGTGGGATAGCCTAGTGGTTAAAGCGTTCGCTCGTCACGTGGGTTCGATTCCCCACATGGATACAATGTGTGAAGCCCATTTCTGGTGTCCCCCGCCGTGATATTGCTGGAATATTGCTAAAAGCGGCGTGCAACCATACTCACTCACTCACTCACTTTTCAAATGATCCAAGTGTGAAATACTTCAAACTATGTCGTCAGGTCAACTGATAGAGGTGTACAGATCATAAAGCACTTTTACTTCCATTTTGTCAGAGCAACATTTAGCGTGGGGCAGTTTGTCTCTCAGTTTCTGTTAGTTATTTATGTGTTGGTATAGCGACGGGAATATTCCCACCATTACTGACATAGAAAGTCCTTTGACTGCATAACAGATTTCAAGTTTATTTAATCATTCTAAGTTCATCGTTCTTCAGATTCCGTCTTTCAGTAGTATAACTGGATAACACTAAGGACTCAAAATTATTTTTATTGCTTTCAGGTTGTCATGGTTACGATAACAGATTTACTGGGCCCATTTCATCATACGCTTTTGTCCAAGTAGATGAACAATTTGGACGAGAGTTATTCCCCCTGAATCGCAAAGGTCATGGTCGACCATACCCTGAACCTATCGAAGGGAACTACCCTTGCTCTCAGTGTGACAAGGTGTTTTCTAACTCGGGCACAAGATGGCATCACGTGGCTGCAGTTCACGATAAAGTAGTGTTCACGTGTGATTGCGGAAAACAGTTCAACTACAGACACAACCTTGTGAGGCACAAAAAGACACAGCATTGCGGCTGATAGATCCGTGAGAAGCTCAAACATGTTTTAAAAACAATACTTGATTGGGTGAATGAGATGCCAAACAAATCGGGGAGCTGAAATGGGTTTTAGAAACAATACTGGATTGGGTAAAATAAATGCCAAGCAAATCGTATATGGCTCTCTGTGGTGGTCAGCAATCTGATAATAATCACATCTAAAAAATACTGTTTCGAATAAGCAGTCAGTGTTGAGGATTCTACATTCTTTGAATGAGTGGTTATGATGGTCCGATTAATTGAACTAATTGAAGATTGGTCGCAATGACAAAACGACCAAGCAATCGATCATGTTTTCTCATAATCGAACACAAACAATTTTGGACCACTTGTTGCAATAACAATATTTTTCAAAAGGTTGATTTTGTCTCGACATTGCATAAGCACTACAAGCTCGTTCCAAGTCATGATTAAGTTTATCTTAACAACTCCAGGAAATGTATGTTCCTAACACACTAGTCATCCTTTAAAGATGTGAAATTTGCAAATGCATTTTGTGCAATTTGGCGAAAAAACCCGAGAACTACATGTTTTTTCTTTATTTTTTGTGCATTAACAAACATAACCAGGAAACTTGATAAATGACGCTAACCAATTATTTTCGATGATTGATCGGTTGTAATGAACCAATCATCAATTATGAGATTTACACCAATTCCCAACACTAATGAGTGAGTGAACCACAAACATATCTGACTTTATGTATCCTAAAAAGAAATGTAATTCATGCAGACAAAAATGACTGATTTATTTATATTAAAGTAACCCAGGAGTTGTGAGGAAAAAACCAAAATGGCACCTTATGTTAATTTTGATTTTTGATTTATTTGTTTTTCCGATCATGATGGAATCGCCACAAGGAATGTGTAATAACAAGAGTATACTTGTGTTCTTTGACAGTTTTCTTTAGTTGAGATAGAAATTTACACAATAAAGTGGTCCGGAAATCAAGGAAATTGTTTTATAAGGTTGACATCTGATATATAAAGCAAGGTAGACAACTCTGTTGAATCCTTCTGGGTCACAATGCTTTCACGTCTGGTGGATTATCTTGTATGACTAGAATATCGGAAAAAGCAAGTAGATTTTCATCAGACTCCATTACTTTTCTGTAAAGCACAATGATCAATCTTGTGATCTTCAGAATGGCATGAGTGGACATTATATGGATATTACATGGGACATTATATGTATATTACATGGGACATTACATGGACATTACATGGGACATTATATGGACATTACATGGGACATTACATGGACATTACATGGGACATTATATGGACATTACATGGGACATTATATGGACATTACACGGAACATTATATGGACATTACATGGGACATTATATGGAACATTATATGGACATTATATGGAACATTACATGGACATTACATGGGACATTACATGGACATTACACGGAACATTACATTGACATTACATGGGACATTATATGGACATTACATGGAACATTATATGGACATTACATGGGACATTATATGGACATTACACGGAACATTATATGGACATTACATGGGACATTATATGGAACATTATATGGACATTACATGGAACATTACATGGACATTACATGGGACATTACATGGACATTACACGGAACATTACATTGACATTACATGGGACATTATATGGACATTACATGGACATTATTATATGGACATTACATGGGACATTATATGGACATTACATGGAACATTATATGGACATTACATGGGACATTATATGGAACATTATATGGACATTATATGGAACATATATATGGACATTACATGACATTACATGGACATTACATGGGGACATTACATGGACATTATATGAACATTACATTGACATTACATGGGACATTATATGGACATTACATGGGACATTACATGGACATTACATGGGACATTACATATGGACATTACATGGACATTACATGGACATTACATGGGACATTATAGACATATGGACATGGACATTACATGGACATTACATGGACATTACATGGACATTACATGGACATTACATGGACATTACATGGACATTATATGGACATTACATGGACATATGGACATTACATACCTGCATCCATCGGTTGAATATGAGACGTGGTATTTGGTCACATTTCGCAAACTTGTGACTTGCAGCGTTGTTGAGAAGCAAAATCACTTTAAGTCCACATGACCGCATCTGTCTGTCAAAGTACATTAACCAATCACAAAACAGCTCACTTGTCATCCACGCCTTTGTATTGTTGTGTCAATCAAAGTGTAAATGTACAGCATCTTCAGTCGCGAACTTTTAATGTCTAATTAAAACAACAACCCTTAATAGACATTTCTCAAAAGTTAACAAGAGTTCATCTTGTAAACTCCATGACACCGAGTTTTTATTGTTTATGGCCAGTTAAGTAAACATCGCCGGGGGATGTTGTTATGGTATGGAACACGACTTACAGCGTCCGGACTGTGAAGCAATTTACTGTTTATTTCTACTGATTGGTTACAGCTACTTACCATCCGGTTCCGGAAACCGGATTATCGAGGCAAATTAAATAGGCATAGATTGGTAACAAGCTAAAATCGTCCGGGAGGCGTAGACATCCGGATTATCGGGGTCCGGACTAACGGGGCTTCACTGTATTTGAAATTACACTTTGTCAGGCACTGTGTATTAATACTTGGTTGATGTAGCTTTATGGATCATCCATATCATCCAATCAAATCTGCAAGCTACTTCACTGCATGCTGACAACCGAAAGAAGATGGACAGACAACTGGTTCTGATTTTGTGTTGTGAACCCCAAGTGACTGTAGCATAGTCTCAAGCTGTCATGAGTGACCAAGGCAACGTGTTTTTTGTTTCCAGATTCTCATACCTGGGACAGCTATGGTATCTACCGAGACTCTTCTCTGTCTGAATCAGACCCGAACATGTATCAACATGGAGCTCTGTCGCATGGCGTGCAGCGCTGCAGGAAGGAGAGAGTTTACCCCAAACCTGTTGGTGGAAAATACCCTTGTCCTGAATGTGACAAGCTCTTCTCCAGTTCCGGTTCTCGATCCAACCATGTAGGGGCCATTCATGACAAGCTGATATTTGCGTGTGACTGTGGCAAGCAGTACAACTACAGACAAGCACTGATTCTGCACAAAAAGACTTGCCCAATATGGCATCAGAAGTGATATCTTTTTTTTGGAAGTTATGTCATGACCTGCTGTGAGAGCTCTTTCAGTGAAGCTGTCAGACCCAGCCCAGAACTTTTGTGCTTTCGGGAACTTTCTGCTGTCATGACCTTGAGAGCTCCTTGTGAAGTCAGGAACTTTCTGCTGTCATGACCTTGAGAGCTCTTTGTGAAGCTCGGGAACTTTCTGCTGTCATGACCTTGAGAGCTCCTTGTGAAGGTCAGGAACTTTCTGCTGTCATGACCTCTTTGTGAGCTCTTTCTGTGAACAGCAAGAGCTCCTTGTGAAGGTCAGGAACTTTCTGCTGTCATGACCTTGAGAGCTCTTGTGAAGGTCAGGAACTTTCTGCTGCCATGATCTCGAGGCTCTTGAAGTCAGGAACTTTCTACTCTCAGGATCTTGAGAACTCCTTTTGTAACGCATTCGTTTCATCCTCATCATTAGCAGAAAGTAGAATAGCTGTGTTTTGTTCACAAGGCAGCAGATTAATGCTTTTGGATTTCTAGGACTTAAGGCAAAGAGAGTTTGCTGACATGTCTCTTTTGTTGTACCTGTTCATGTTTAGTACTGTGTAATTACTGTAAACTTACAATTCCTTTAAGGTGATAATCATCGTGTGTAACAGATAATGGATATTTAGACAATAACCAAAGAGGCATGAAGAAATCAAGATTTTCCCTCCCAAGTGAATAAATGGTGTTAATCCCACGCATTTGGAGATGGACTCCGAGTGTTCATTTGCAAAGGACAAACAATACTAAATCCGAATTTCAATTAGGTTATTCTATATATTTCTCGCTGTCATTTTAAGAGAGAAAATGAATAAAAAGCATGAAACATCAACCCCACGGCAAAGCATCACTGACGTCAGGCTCCTGTTCTGATGACGTAATTTAATCCATTTTTTATGTCATGCTCGAGAATGATGTCATGTTATATTGTCCATGTGGCTAAATCTGACCCTATCAGCTGTTAAGACTAAAAATATAAATGTGCAAAGATTACAAAGTTTTTTACACACAATCATTCTGTCCTCTTGTGTCATATTATTAGTTACACAGTGTTTTTGAAAGGGTGTACTGGACTGTTAGACCCTTGTAAATTCCTTGTAAATACAAGGAATTTACAAGGGTCTTACAGTCCGGACACCCTTTCAAAACACAATATGATCTAATTATTACCCCTCAGATCTTTTATTTAGCTTATCTTTAAACAACATTTCAGTCGTCGGCAGAATGGAGACGCCAAAACGTTTTTGCCATGATTTTCCCTGAATGGTCATAAAGGGAGATAACTTCGGGATGGCTTAGTTTATGATAAAAATATCAAATTTGAGGTTTTGTTAAGCGACAAGTGAAATACAGAAACATTTCATTTTGGATATATTTATTGACACAAACAAATAAGAAATTATTGCAACAATTTTATTACTCTGTTTATGCTCATTATTGTATATACCAACTCTAAAATTTCAAAAGAAATCAAGATTTTCCCTCCCAAGTGAATAAATGGTGTGAATCCCACGCATTTGGAGATGGACTCCGAGTGTTCATTTGCAAAGGACAAACAATACTAAATCCGAATTTCAATTAGGTTATTCTATATATTTCTCACTGTCATTTTAAGAGAGAAAATGAATAAAAAGCATGAAACATCACCCCACGGCAAAGCATCACTGACGTCAGGCTCCTGTTCTGATGACGTAATTTAATCCATTTTTTATGTCATGCTCCGAGAATGATGTCATGTTATATTGTCCATGTGGCTAAATCTGACCAATCAGCTGTTAGACTAAAAAATATGAATATGCAAAGATTACAAAGTTTTTACACACAATCATTCTGTCCTCTTGTGTCATATTATTAGTTACACAGTGTTTTGAAAGGGTGTACTGGACTGTTAGACCCTTGTAAATTCTGTATTTACAAGGAATTTTCAAGGGTCTTACAGTCCCGTACACCCTTTCAAAACACTGTGTGACGAATTTATTACCCTTCAGATGTTTTTGTTTAGCTTATCTCTAAACAACATTTAATCATCAGCAGAATGAGACGCAAAACGCTTTGCCATGATTTTTCCTGAATGGTCATAAAGGGAGATAACTCAGGATGGCTTAGTTTATGATAAAAAATATCAACTTTGAGGTTTTGTTAAACGACAAGTGAAATACAGAAACATTTCATTTTTTGGATATATTTATTGACACAAACAAATAAGAAATTATGGCAACAATTTTATTACTCTGTTTATGCTCATTATTGTATACACCAACTCTAAAATTTCAAGCGATCAGCCGTTTGGCAGCCACATTCCATCTAAGGTCAAGGTCATTTGTACAACCTATGTATTGTGTCACACGACAGATTTGACGGGGTGTACGGTTCGTACATCCTGACAAATCTGCCTACATGGTTTGGTATGCTTTGGCTATTGACCAATCAGAATTCGGCAAATATATCTTAAGGGTAATAAATACTGTGTAGGAGTGTAACACATACTTTCTCCACACTGACATGTTTGCAGGAGAATTATAATACCAGGCCCTTACTGTTTGAACAGACGTTGTTAGCGAGTTATCTCTAGAATGATTTAGTTCAGAATTTGTGGACAGGTATAGTTTGCAGACTACAGTACATATTTGTGACCTTGACCTTATTTTCAAGGTCCCAACGTTTGGTTTGTTGTTTATACAATGCTATTTAGAAAGTGGTCACGTGTAGCATATGTTATATTTGGGATTACACTTTCTTAGTAAAGTACAGATTCTACTACTTTTGATGGAATTTAAACCACACCATCAGAGTCAGGCACCTAATCCCCAGCACACAAAATCCCCTTCTGATAAGCGGCAATGGGAACCGTGCCAATTACCGCTTATCAGAGGGGTACACAAAGTCCGCAGTCTGGACTACCAGTTGTCTGACTTCCATTTTTGTGGAAGTCGCGGTGGGTGAGCGGGTTAGGCGGCTGACTTTGTGTGCTGGGGATTAGGTACCTGACTGAGGGTGTGGGTTCAAATTCCAGATGGGACTCAACCCAACAAAAGTACAAGAATCTCTACTTTACTAAGAAAGTGTAATCCCAAATATAACATATGTAACTTTTGGTTTGTTATCAAGAAATCTCAAGTTAGATATATGTTCAAGTCAGCATTGTCTGTTGTTAAAAATCAAAATGTTCAAGATTTGTAACATTGATCTGTAAATAATAAAAATGTTTGACTATCAGTCTACTAATTCAGTTTGGATATTGACACAACCAACCCAGTCAGTGAGCCTGATCTGTTTGTCACCTCTTTCGACAAGCCTGAGTTGCTGGAGACAAACCATGATAACCCAGGTTCTCTAGTAGTAATGCCTAAACTCTGAGAAGCTTCATTTCACTTATTACAATGTGTGAAGCCCATTTCTGGGGTCCCCCGCCATGATGTTGCTGGAATATTGCTAAAAGCAGCATAAAACCCAACTCACTCACTCAGTTCACTTATCCCTCCACTCTAGACGAGGCATATATTGCCAAAGACACAGCTTCAGAAATTTGTCTTTTCTAAGGTCCACCCAGACAACTAGTGTGAATGCTGCTAGTCCTGATTCAACAAATCAACAATGTGTTTATATTTATTGTCAGTTTTTTCATTTTCAAATTGTTTGTTCGTTTGTTGTTTTACGCTGCACTCCGCAATATTCCAGCTATATGGCGGCGGTTTGTAAATAATCACGTCTGGATCGGACAATTCAGTGATCAACAGAATGAGCATCGATCTGCGCAATTGGGATACGATGACATGTGTCAACCAAGTCAGCGAGCCTGACCAAGCGATCCCGTTAATGGCCTCTTACAAGTACAGGTTACTGAAGACCGCCTCTGTGGTGTAGTGGTTAGAGCGGTTAGAGTGGTCCGCCAGGAGAGCGGAAGGTCGCGGGTTCGATCTCCAACCGCGTCATACCAAAAGACGTTAAAATATGGTACTTGTTGGTCCCTGCCTGGCGCTCGGCATTAATGGGTACAACAAGGACTGGTCGGCTCGGAGTCAGTATAATGTGTCTAAGTGGGGTATTCATGCTTCACTGCGGCATGGTATTTCAGTGGGCTAGCTCTATAAAACCAGCTTAAGTCTGGGCTAGTACAAGCAGCCGCACATACACATACACACACATGCACGTCGTCATTTGAGCGAAATATTCTCAAGCACGACGTTAAACCCAATTTCACCTCACCTCACCGGTTACTGAAGACCAATTAAGCTAGGTTGATGTATGTGTGTGTTACACAGACAGGCAACGCCCAGGTGTGAGAGATCACAACAGCACTTTTTATTGCTTCCAGATCCACTTCCAGACATGAGCTATGGTGTATACAGTGGAGCTGAATACACTCCACCAAACCAGAGCGTGTATCAGTACACGCAGCAGACAGTACCGATCAATAGACGGCCCAGAACCTACCCTAAACCTATCGGAGGGAAATTCCCATGCCCCGGATGTGACAAACTGTTCTCTAGTGCTGGGTCTCGCCACAACCATGTAGGGGCCATTCATGATAGGCTCATCTTTGCGTGTGACTGTGGAAAGCAGTACAACTACAGACAAGCTCTGAGTCTGCACAAAAAGACCTGTCCTTTATGGAATTATCCCTAATGATAATTTTGGAGGCAGGAAGCAAACTTTGTCTGGAATATCAAGTTGGTGTTGATGTGGAAGCTGTTTTTTGAAGTTACAAAAGAAAATGTCTTTGATGACTGGCATACTATTATACATGGTTTCCTGGTACTACCAGTGGTAGGTCTTAACTCTCAGAGTGTCAGTCACACGACAGATTTAAAACATTCAGAGACAGGGATAGAAATACTTTTTTTTCTAAGTGTGCCTTAGGGCACTAGGCAAATATTTTAGGTGTGTGTTTCAGAAATCAAGTGTCCCCACATGTTTTTAGAATCAATGTCTGTATCAAGGATGATGATCTTTTGAAATTTATTGTCAGAAAACAACAAATGTAACCAGTTTTCGGTTATCACTGATATGTCTTCTGTTTAAGATGGCTTTCTTATGTTACATTTGTTCTGCGTTCCCAACACCTTTAATAGCTAAGAATCGTGTGAGAGGTTCACTTTTTTCAATATGTCTAACATACACAATTTACTCTTCACTAACCGAACTATCAGTACTCACAACACTCTAAATGGAAAAACTACCAGATTTCTTTACATCATCCATCATAATTCCAGTGATTTCCTGGGCGTAAAAGTCAATAAATGTTTTTGCTTGGTTGTCATTTGCATAAGTGTTTTGTTTGGGGATGAAATGACTAAAGGTGTGCTATGTCTCTAAAAAATTAGGCGTGCCATAAGGGCACCAAGAACATTTTTTATCTGTGCCATTTCGATATTTACCGTGCAATGGCACGCTAATACATGGGGTATTTCGAACCCTGAGGGAGTATGGGTTTATGCTTCTGTGGGCAATATTCTGGCAATATCAGAGTTGGGAAGACTACAAATGGGGATCCAGTGTGGGAATAGAACCAGACACTCAATGTTTTGAGAAGAAACGTGAACAACTTGTCTACCCCACAGCGCCAAAACATTTACAACAGAAAAACTCATGGCCTTGATGAAGCCATTTTTATGTTTTTGTCGTCCTCGTATCTGTCGCTTTTTGAGGATGGATTGTTGCAGTATTTCCGTTTCAATTTGAATTGTAACTGGTATGGAGACTCTCT